AAGTCATTAAAAGGAGAGATTGCTTTGTCTAGGAGAAGGTAGGACTGGAGATAGTAAGCAGACAGGAAGATCTTTTGAGATACCCAATTACTCTTTCTTGTTAAACTATTTTATTGCAGCACTGAAAAAGGATGGAGAAGATGTATTTCCAGTTAATACCATGAACGCACTTCTCTTAAGATGATGAGTACAGTGAATTCATGTGCAGATTGACATTAATTTTTCTTTAAACTGGAGGCAAAGAAACTTGTGTGAACCTGTAACTTCCATGATACTGACATGAGTGCTGAAATTTTATCTCTTCTTTTCATTGTTGTAATAAAAGAATTCCAACATGAGAAAATAAACAGTTTAGTAGGTCAAATTTTCTGACCCCACCTATCTCCAATTTCCAACTGTCTACAGTCTTCTTGTTCTTAAGTATTCAAGATGTCACACATCAAATAGTTTTTATTTTCCCTTCAACAGTCTGTGGTATATGTGAGGACTACTGCTGCTGGCTGTCAAATGCATTTTTCCAAAATCCCATTTCTTACTCTGTAGTTAAGCCACTATTTTCTTTGCTTGAAACTGAAATTTAAAATTTGCTTTCTGGAAGTTAGAGCAAAACAGCACCATGAAGAGAACCTCATGATAAAACAGACAATGAGGAGATCTTATCAACAGAATACACAGAGGCTGTGAATTTCCACAGTAACTCATGGGTGATATTGTGTGAACATGGATGAAAAACTTGGAATAATGGGTATCCTGTTACGAGAGCTGTTGATGCTTGCAGGGGTTACTTTATGTTCTGACATTATCAGACGTGATGCTCAGGAGGCAAACTTCCCCCCCTCATTTGTTAATAAAGGTAAGACTCTCAGTATGTCAGTTTCTTCTAGTACAACTTTTCGCTTTTATCCTGACCCAGAAGCTGTTATCAGTCAGATAAAAGATTGTAGTGGGCACATCAAGAATATGCTTTTTCCCCTCTGTCTGAATCCCAAAAGTGACAAAAGTCTCCTAAGCAATCAGATTATTTCATGAGTGGGTTTGCAGCACCACAAGAGATTGAAACTATGCTAAAACATCTGTTTCCTGACAAGTTAGGTTCATCATTCCTGAAGTAAACTTCCAGAAAATGTCTTTGAGTCCTTAACAGTAAGAATTCAACAGGCTGGAGATCAGGCTGACTGCTAAGTGGAAAAGTTGATGGGTTTTTTTGTGAAGGCACAATGCAGCCACCTGTGTACTATTACAGCGAGGAAATTAGTCATTTGTCTGGTATAGCTTTTGGTCTGACAAATTCTGGAGGTAATAAAACAGTCCTCATTTTTGTGGGTTTTTAAGTCGTCTTCCCTTCTCTCTCCACCCACAAATGCCATGAAGGAATACAAAATGGCCCTTTTTCTTCTCCAAACCAGGAAAAAAAGCAAGCAATGATGAAATCCAAGCAGCTTGATTTTACATCAGTGTCCAGTTCTTTCACCTGAAGAGAACCCCTTTTCAAAAGCCTAGCTGAGTAGGCTACAGCTGAGTAGATTTGTTGGTATCCAGACTGAGGATTAAAATGAAGTCTGTTCCTTGAAAATGTACTAGTAGTTGTAGAGATCATGCCTTTTTTTCTGTCTGTGAAGTGTTCCTTTGTTAGAGAAACTGCTTCTCTCTTTCTCCTGTTGGTGGAAAGACCCTTAAAACATGTCTTGTTAGGAGAGCTAGGAAACTGAAGACAACTAGTGCCCCTGCAGATCGGCCAGTTGTTGAAGTGCATCTCGCACTTTCATGCTTTTGCTTCATCCTACCATATATGCCTTGAGCAGTGGAATGATTCGCTTCACAGTGGTTTAAAGTTGCAACCATGATCATCAGCTGCTGAGATGAACAGGGTATTTCATGCCACACAGCTGTCATTAAGGCTCTTGTTAGGTCAGTGGTGTAGCATGGTTGATGTCAAACCTGTCATGCCTCCATTTTGCTGCCTTTTCTGTATAGTTTCTAGTGCTTTTATTGTTGGTTTTTTTCCCCCTACCTCCCATTAAGGGAAGATGCTGAAACCTCTGCAGTTCAAGAGCCCCAGTGGCTAAACCAGTCTTCTAGAACTACCATAGTTTGACACTAGCTAGTCTATTGAAAAACAGGCTTCCAGAGAATCAGGGAAAAAGTTTCTGAATCTGCTCAAACCTTGCCACCAATATTGGGTGCTGTAAATGTCCTTCTTATTTAGGAGTGTTTTGGAAGATGCTGAAACCTCTGCAGTTCAAGAGCCCCAGTGGCTAAACCAGTCTTCTAGAACTACCATAGTTTGACACTAGCTAGTCTATTGAAAAACAGGCTTCCAGAGAATCAGGGAAAAAGTTTCTGAATCTGCTCAAACCTTGCCACCAATATTGGGTGCTGTAAATGTCCTTCTTATTTAGGAGTGTTTCCTCTTTTCCTCTTTTCCTCTTTTCCTCTTTGTCAGCTTAACCTGAAGCCTGGAAGCAGCTCACGAGTGCACCTTCTGCACTTGCAGAACATGTTTGCAATGCTTGCAGTGTTGACAGTGGCTGTAGAAACAGGGAGCGAGCTGAGCGCCCCTGAAGCGAGGGGATAGCCTTGGCAGTCATTTCCAGTGAGGCAGGGGATTGCTGTTGAACTTGGCCTTGGCAAGTGGAAAGCAGAGATCTCTTATGCTCGATAATAGTGATGAGTGGTGTTAAGTTGCCAGGCACTTTGGAATTAAATGCAAATCTCATGGGTAATAACCACAAACAGTGCATTTTACAGAATTCCTTCTCGGCTGGAGAGGTGGTGGTGTTACGTGCTTCAGCTTGAAGAAGTACTTGGCTGAACACTTCTGCCCAGCTTGGTGGCATCAAGAGCTTAAGAACACTGAGAATTATATGTAGTTAAAAATACTTAGCATTCATGTGTTGCTGGTCATTGTAATGCCATGGAGGATTTATCTTAAAAAGCAAAGAATCCAAAAGCAGTATTTTCAGGCATTTGCCCAGGTTCTGGTTTTGTGAATTGCAAGAGAACATGGAGAATAAATGGGTGGCTGAGGCCCCCTAGTGCCACTACAGCACAAATGCCACAAAGTTGCACTTTATATTTACTTTTATATTTTAATACAAACACTTTTTAGGCTAAAATACCTCAAGATGTACTAATTGTTCACATGCAATTGTTTCCTTGCTGGAAACATTAATTCTTCATTTATTTTTCGTGTCTTATTCTGCAAAAAATGAGAGACAGAATTCTGTTTGCAATCATTATGAATATTTGCATTGCAGGCAAAAAAACCCAAAAAAACAAACAAACAAAAAACAAAACAAACAAACAAAAAAACCAAAACACACAGGGAAGCTGAAGGCTTGTAAGGTAATTTTTTTTTTGCCACATTTATATCTCTGCCCAAGAAAGACTGACAGGAAGCACTACACAGCTAGTGGTGTCTGATGCTGTGGTGTATTATGTAACTTGGGGATAGGACAGATAAGGAAGGAAAAGTGCTCGTGAGGGAGGAGCGAGATAGTTGTGGGGTTTTGTTTTGGTTTTGTGGTTATTAGCCATGTGGTTTTGGTTGAATTGCTAAGACCTTAAGAATCGCTTCCAAATGCTATCATCTAAGATACAGCAGTGTGGACATATGTTAGAATAGATTCCCTTTGTGCTTAAAATTTAACTTAAAAGTGTATGTTCACAGCTCATGTGTAGTAGTACAGAGCTCTCCTTCTCAGAAAAAGGTGAGAGTCTGGAGAATAGCTTCATGTAAAGTAAGTTAATGGTGACCTAGAACTACTATTAAAAGAGCTCTTTTCAGTATTTCTGTGTTGCCCTAGTCTCAGAATTAGTTGGAATTGTATCTTTTGTCAAAATCTAGCTATTTACTCTTGAGACAAAGTTTTGGCATTCCATCAAGTATGAATAGCAGCTAATAAAGCTTTAATAAATAAATTAATTTTGGTGTTTAGTCAACTAGCTGTCTTCTCACTCTCACTAGTCTGTAATGCTCCCCTTCATTTTGCTGTTACACAAATTTTCAATAAGCAAGAAGATGGTGAGCCTTGTCCAAAATGCTATTATTTGTTATTCTTTAACAATGAAATGAAAAAATGGGCATGTAAAGTTAGGCCTTTATAAGTAGATATACTTTGTTTTCTGGACATTTTGTAACCCAACGTCTTCAGAGATAAAGTTGGCAAACAGACCTGAAATGTGTGTTGAGTGGGAGTGGGCAGGCAATATGGAGGGTGAAAAGTTAAAAGGAATCTCTGGGCGACATTAGATCTGTGCCATTTGTTTTTATTTTCAGTGCACTTTGGAAGCCTAATACTGATGGTTTCTGTACAAGTTCCTTTTCGATTGTTCACAGAAACTCCTCCATTGGGTTATCAGTTCTTATAGTAAATTATTACTTCTGTCAAAATACATAGTTATGTCAATATGATTTGGATGGTAAACTTTACGTTTCTTTACAAACATGGTGAGGTTGATGCTTTCAAGATTGTAAAACAAAATGTACTGAAAATGAATTTTTCTGTCCTTTCTTTTGTTTTTTTGTTTTACATGATTAAATGATTGAAGACTCTAGGTGTGATCTAGCTGTGAACTTACACTATCTTCTCGATAAGCTCCAGTTAACATCTGGGTTTCAAAAACTTTTGTTCAGTTGAACTTTTCTATGAACATCAACAACAGTCTTAGGAAGAACAAATAAAAATAAAGGAGCATTGGGAATTTTTGTCCCTATTAGTTGAGGTATATCTTATAGTTTGTATTGCAGAGAATATTTTATACTTTGTCACAATTTTCTGCTGGTTTTAAGGACCACTTCAGGGTGAAGAAACCTAGTTGTGGCATATTGAGTTGTGTATGGCAGTGAACATATCCTACCATATTCAGTGTTGATCCTTTAAACTGTTCTGGAATTGTAAATGTGTCACTTGTGTTTGGAATAGCTGTGGAATACTCTACATTTTTACAAATTAAAAAGGGAAACATTCAGTATAACATGCTTTTTTTTTTTTCCCCAGTTCTTCAAGGATCTTATGCATAGCATATGAGGTTTTACAAGGTTTGCAGTATATGAACAAACATGGAATGGTTCACCGAGCACTCTCCCCTTGCAATATTCTTTTGGATCGAAAGGTACAGCTACAGGAATAAACCTTTGGTTTTGTTTGGTTTTATTTTTTCTTCTTGCTGCAAACAAGTAGCATGCTGTGTCATATATGGAGGCTAGGCAGTCACAGTTCTTCTGATGGGACCAAAATTGCATGTCTGGAAAGATGTTCATTTTGTTTGGGACTGTTTGTGGTGTGGTTTAAGAACTTTGTTTTTAACCTACAGTTTTCCCCATTTTCTAAATTTCAAATATATTTCAGATTTTTTCTTTTTTCCCATTTTCTTCTATCCCAAACCATGTTTTCACCCTTTTCTTCTTAAAGTGGTAATATAATTCTGCTTATTGTCATTGGAATTATTTACCTGTTTGAATAAGAAAATATTTCTTCTGGCTAATTAACTGTTAATAATATTTCCTGTTTTTCATGGTGATCTGATATATGATTTTTAAGAGATCAACGTATTTCTTTGTTCATGTTAAATTATTAAAATTACAGTGTCTGTCAATTCTGTTGTCACAGGCTATTGAGTTGACAGTGTGGAATACAGGTTCTGCTCATAAAAGCTGGGAGAAACAAAGAGCTGCTGTTGTAACTAAAAGCAGTCACTTCATCTGAACTGACAGCTAAAGAGTTTATCCTGTCTGCATAACCCCTCTCTCCTTCCCCTTTTTAGTCGATTTAGATAGAACGGCTAGATCCTCACCTTGGAAGGCAGAAAGAGAAGAGGAATAAGGAAGGAAGGAAGGAAGGAACTCTATTTTTATATACTTGTAAACAAATGAAAATCATAATAATGCTCTAACAAGCAAAAGTACTTTAGGATTTTAAGATACTTCTAGAATCAATAAAAGAACAAAAGGGGGGCATGGGACCATAAACTTCTAAACTTTTTCAGGGAGTTCTAGGGTTCAGACAGGATTTTGAAAAGTTTTTAAACAAGAAAAATGTTCAATAGAGTAAGCCTTTTTAATTTACTGAAAATACACTGTAACTTAAAAGGCTCTGATTTTCTTGTATGTTCCAAACAAGGTGATTACTTAATGCTCTTGGAAATTAAAAGCATAGAAATAAGAACCTTATTAAATTGCAGTGGAGTTCTACATAATAGATGAGACATAAATGTAAGAGGATGACTTTTTATAGGTATTTGTCTTCTGACAGTTAATGCAACTTGGTTTTATTTATTTATTTATTTAACTTAAACACAGATTCTTCCAATGTCGGATTCTACTGCTCTTGTTCATTTATTTTTTCCTTTTCAGGGACATGTGAAGTTGGCTAAATTTGGACTCTACCATATGACTGCTCAAGGTGTTGATGTTGATTTCCCTATAGGGTAAGGATATAGCTACACTATAAAAATATATCAGGGATGTATTTTTTTGGGGAAATGTATTTATGTTTTGAAGAATCAGCTTCAAAAATGTGTTATATGCACAGATTATAGGTTACTGTTTTAATTCTTATCTGTTGCATACACCCCTTACATGAAAGCTTCTGATAATGTCACTGAAGAGGTAGTCATCTGACTAGGTGAAATTAATGAAAGACAGAGAATGAGTACCATGCCAGCATGTTGCTGTAGCTATGTGATGTCAGTCCTTATTGCTTAGGTTTTCTTTCAAATGCTACTAGTTCCATGTAACTCAGGTTCTGGAGGTACCACCTGATTTCAAATTTAAGAAAAAGCACAATCTCTCTATAATTTTATAATTTATTTTCAAGTTATCTCACTGTCTAGCCAAAGTGACAAACTTCGTTGCAGTGTTTCCTTGCCACTTTTGGGGGTTTTGAGGTGTTATGTTGTTTATAATTCAAATACTGAGACCTGCCCAAAAGGAAGAATTGTTTCCCTTCAAAAGGTGATTTCAGTTTGTTTTGATATGTAGGCATATTGTCTTGAAAACTGCTGTTATTTCCTCTCACAAAAAGACAGAGCTAGTGATTAAGATTTGACATTTTATGTAGCAGGCACTATGTATTTTGCAATTGGAGTGAAACTTTGCTGCAATGTGTAAATTTTGAGTGAACAAAATAGAACAATCTGCATTATTATGAATTCTAGTTTCTCAGAATGCAAAGTTATTTTGGTTGCTGTAACTGAAAGATAGATTTTTTTTTTTTTGGACAGACAGGATATTACTTAATGTTGCTGCATCTTTCTAGGTACCCATCATATCTGGCACCTGAAGTAATTGCACAGGGAATAGTCAAACCAAATGATCATGCTCAGTGTGAGAAGCCTCTGCCTTCTGGCCCTAAATCAGATCTGTGGTCTCTTGGTATAATATTATTTGAGCTTTGCATGGTATGTAAGAGGATAATTCTCTTGATTGTAACTCTTGGGGAATAGTTAAATTAACTTGATTGCTCTTGAGTATGGAGTTAATGATGCTTGACCTATCACCCGAGTCCAAGTATCAGACTATGTTAGCATTCCGACCTGGACCATATCGGTGGTGGCTGAAGTAGTAGGATGCATATTGGCCTGGTATGAGTATATATGTTAACCATGAAGGGCAGCTGTTCAGTCACAATGGCTTGATTGCATGATTCATTTCTTAGCAAGGAATAGCTTTTGAACCAAGAAGTCTCTAGATAATTTGTTCTTTTAATTGTGTTTTTAACCATGAAATAACCATTGCTATCATGTCCTCACTCTCCTTGGAAAGGAGGAGAAACTAATAAATTTCATTGGAGAGGAAGAGAAGGGAGAATTTGCCTTATCACGAGAGTTTAAAGAGTTTCTGTAGACGATTAACGATTTATTTGGAAAATACTTATTTGATTCTAGAAGTTGAACTAAATTATGACAACATAATCTCTACTATTTGAATTTGTTAAACTGGACTTTTATTCAAAGATGGCAATATTCTGTAGGGAGGTGTGATCTAGCAAATACCTCCATAATGATATTTAGTCTCATGACATAACTAAACTGTCAGACAATTGCATGGTCATGAACATGTTTTATATAGTGATTAGATCAGGACATTGGAAATGGTCTTCTGTAGCATATTCTACTCTTCTCAAAATTTGCAGTGTCCATATATCATTATTTATTCTTTTGAATAAGTACATTTTCTTAAAAATACTATAGTTATATTTTTTTGCAACACCTTTAAAGGGATTTTCAGATGACTTCAAAAACACTGTGCAATAATACAAGCTATGATGATTTTCATGCCTAGTAATTAATTACCTTTGTTGGAAAAAATATAGTTTTTGAAACTCTGTTACTGAATAAACCTGCAGGTTTGCTAAGGCAGCTTGGGGCTTTTTTTTTTTTTTTTTTTTTAGTTTTACATTTGTTCCAGCTAAGAGACATTGCAAATAATACATTTGTTCTTTATGATGACATGAAACTGTTTCTGCTATAGTTGGGGTGCATAATATTTTCTGTTCTAACAGAGTTTTCCTAAAGCTAAAATTCCTGTGTAGAAGCTTATTTCACTGTTTCTGTATACAGATGGGTGTGTATGCTATTTAAATATTTCTATGTGGTAGCACTCAACTGTTGATTTGATTTTGTTATTCAGGGGAGAAAATTATTCCAGAGTTTGGATATAGCAGAAAGATTGAAATTTATAATTATGTTAGGTAAGTAGCACAAAATCAATTTTTTAAGTTTCCAAGCACTTTTATAATTAGAGATTTTCACACTAGTCAGCTTGTTGTACTCAGACCTAAGGCACTTTACCTTTGTCAGCTTTCATCACCAGAATTAAATAGGCATTTGAAGCATGGTTGCTTGTCTAGGGAAGTTACAGAGATAGGTGCCAGGAAAAACAACTTTGCAGAAGAGCTATGGGTATGTTAGAGTAAGGGTGAACTATAAAAAAACCACACTCAGGGAAGGTTGTTGCTTTGATGGTTATTTGTTATTTTGTGTTGCAGGAGGTTTCTGAAATGTGTTAGGATTTGTATGACACTAAAGAACCATCCCTTCCCTAGCCATGCTTGTGTGCCAAATCCCAAGCAGGGAGAATCAGAGCTCAAATAGGAAGACAGAAAATAAGAAGATGACCAAGAAGCATATTAGTGGATCCAGGCTTTTGTTTCTGGCTTCACCTCCAAAGTGTAAAACGTTACTGTAGAAATTGAATTTTTCCTTAATGTAAATGAGTCTGGAAATGGGACTATATTGTGGCTTTTAAAACTTGATTTCGTGTGGGATTTTATGTATAGACCATGGGGAGGTGAAGGACATGAATTTGCAATTTGCAGTTTTATTGGTAAGTTATTATTATCCAGAGCAATAGTAATACTGTTAAAGTTAGTTACTCTCAGTACAAACATCTTTTTCATTCAGCAGTTAGTGGTTGGGTGCTGAAATTCTGACTGTTTTGTTAAGTGATTTGTTAACAAAGCCTCCTGAAGCATTTCAGTCACTTTCAAGTTGAATGCAAATTATTGGTAACCTTTATCCACTGAAAAACATTCATGTCCTGACTTGGGAATTATTTTCTCAATAATGTGTTGCAAACAAATTATAAAATACTGCTAGTATTATCTGTAAGTAGAAACAAAATTAAAATTACTTTGAGCTTCTATATGAAGCAAATTTTTAAGTTATTTCAGGGATATTTTTATTTTTTTAATGATTGGGAAGACTGTTTAAATTTATTTGACAGAGACTGGCACTCTGGATTTACTAAGCCTGCAAAAAGATTTTCAGTGTTAAATTAGGTGCACAACTTAGCTTTCTTAGGCTTAAGTTTTCTGTCTGCATAGGTGATAATAATTTTAATTTCTAAGTTTGAGAATTCACTTTCAGGTGATGTGGCAATGCCAATAAAAAGACAGAGTTAAGTGCTTTTTATTGGAGTGAGGTTTTATCTGATATCCTGTTTGATTGGTATAACTTTTCATAGTATTTAACTTTTTATTGTTCTCTTTGTTTTTCAAAGGCTGTGTAGATGATATTGTAACTGTATTGGCTGAAGAACATGGTTGCCTTGATGTTATTAAGGTTTGTGGAACTAGTTTGCTCTTCCATGGATAAGCTCTTTGCTTATCCAAAACATTTTGTTATTGTTGCATGCATAGTATTTCACATATATATATGTGTGTGTGTATATATATATATATATATATGTGGGTTGTTTTTTTTTTTTACCTACTTGGTCAGCTGATGTATTGCAGTATGAGAACAAGTTTTGAAGTCTAAACTACGTATCTAAGATTTTTTCAAATAGCCAGTACTGTTAATAGTAATTCTTTCCTAAAATTACTGTCAATCTCAGTAAATGTAAATTTCCTGGATAGCTCTCTGCATTGTTTAATAAGTTATAAATTTTCTTTAAAGTGTTGGGTGTTAAGTATTTTTCTTTGAGAAATTTACTCGTCTATTTGGTCCACTTTACACATTCTGATAGTGTAGGTTTACATAGTTCAAATCCTTCCCACTCCCAAAATTAATTTTAGTGTCTGTGTATTTTGAGACATTGTGTAAAAGGATTCTGATCATTAGCAGAAGGGAGTTACCAGCTACTGCATTGTTTCTGCATACAGAAAATCTAAATTAAAAAATTAAAATAAGAAGCTGCATACACTGCAAATTTTTCAGTTTGTTTTTTTTTTTTTTTTTTTTTCGCCAAAGCAAATGCAGGTTTGAGGGGTGAGAAGTACTACTTCCCCAGTATTTTGGTCTGACACAGCTAACCTCATATGTGTTGGTGTGAAATTTTATTGACCTCAAAGGAATAGCCTGTATGTTAAAAGTTAAGTATGAGCTAATTGGGTTGCTAAATTAAGACAGTAATAAACAAATCTCTTCCACATTTTTCTTATGTTCCAGGACCTTTCTGAAAATATTATATCTCTACTGAAGAAATGCCTTACATTCCAACCTTCTAAGAGGCAAGTATTCAGTCCCAACACCTAGTAAACTCTGCTGGGATGCTATGTAATTAGAAGACCTGTTGCTGAACCTTTTTTAGAATACTGATCGTTTGTACTAGCTATAAGAAATTATTGGTTTTGTTGCTTTTCAATGTTTAAAGGAAAAAAATTGGGAGAAGTGGTGAAAATCAAGTGTGCAAAACCTTGAAATTCCATCTGAGTATTATGGGGAAAAACTATTCAGGCATTTGTAGTTCTAAGTTCGCAGCTTTTTCTGATTCCATGTCTGAAAGTTGGTGGTGGTTACTATAGCCATGTTGTAGCCAGAATTAGGGCTGCTTTCTTCAAGTCTCTTCTTTGAAAGTACTCTTTCATTATGTCTGTCCACCACAACTTTCTTCTGAAAATTGCATTTGTGTTTTTCCATCTCTGGAGAAATTATAGAGGAATTAATAAAATAGTTGCTATGTACATTAAATGAAGGTGAGATATGAACTTGGACTGTAAACAGACCACATGCTGTGTTATACATCGTGAACTGAACAAAATTGGTAGACATTTTTGCTATAAAAATTTTTAAAATCCAATATAATTTAAAATAACCATTTGATACTGAGGACATTTCTTACTGAAATGTAACATTTTTGGAAGCACTTTACTCTTAGTGTTTTATTCTCTTTTCTTAATTCAAGGCCAACTCCAGAGGAATTGCTACATGACAGTTTGTTCAGTGAAGTATCTTCAGCATATCCTCCTTTCCACAAACCTGTTGGTCTGTTCTCATCCTCTCCAAGGTGTGCTAATTTAACACTTCCTGAAGACATAAGTCAATTATGTAAAGGTAAAAGCAGGTAGTGGGATAAATGTTTTTGTGTTTTCTTTGAATACTTTGTTGGAGCGAAACTCCAACAAAGTACAATGCTACATTCTTGTAATAAGTTGTTTAATAGGCACAAATACGGGGAAACATGTTTTGGGGGATGTGTGCAAGTCAAAGGGAGGGCATCTTGATTTTGTGCTTCAACCTCAGGGAGTAAATAGTTATCATTAGTATTCAGATCCAGCTTGGAATATCAGTATCATCTTTTGCCTTTAGAATTTGGACATGTGCATGTACATGGTAGTTTTTTTCATTAAATTGTGTTATGAATTGGTAATTGGATTCTGTTGGATCATAGCACAAGATGATTTTTGGAAGTATTGGAAAACTAAATTATTCTGAAAGAGGTTACGTTCTAGAATAAATGATGAAATTTCTAAGTTTAAAACTCAAGTATGCTGGAAGTGTTACCGCTCTTAAGTCCTCATTAACTTTTTCTGATGAACTTGGAGATTTCTACATGTTTAGAAAATCTCATTATTTTTTTGAGACTGAAGATTTTATACCTTATTAGTATGGATATGGCATGTGAAGGGAAGGTATGATTCATACTGAGTAGTTATAATCTTACTTTCTTATTTTTACTCTTAGTACTGTGTTGTGTACAAAACAGTGTTTGATTTATTTTCTTTTTAGGGACACACAGGAAGCAAAAGTCCAATACTTCGATGTATCTATCTGGTTCTATTTTCTGGCACCAATGCAAACTGCATAAATATTTGCTTTTTTCTGACTTCTGCCCATCTGCTCCTTCCTTAAATCTTCCTGAAAAGGGCACTTGCAAAGGGAAGATCACTTTTCCTCTAACTTCACGTTAAGGTCTAGAACCTTTCAAGCGTAATTTATTTTTTTTTTCAACAACATGTGTTTAGAGTGGTAGGAAGAAATACAAGCTGCCTAAAAGCCGTAACTCATTTTTATGTGGTTTTTCCTAATAGATGAAGATAATGATTACCTAGCAGAAAGATCAATTGAAGAGGTTTATTATCTCTGGTGTTTGGCTGGAGGAGATTTGGAGAAAGAACTTGTCAACAAGGAAATCATTCGATCAAAGCCACCTGTCTGCACGCTTCCCAAGTAAGGAAGTAGAAGCACTTTAAGGGAAAGGAGGATAGATGGAGAAGGCCAGTGATTCTGAGAGAACATTTGTTTGATTTTTAGTTTCAAGACCTGTATGGGTGAAAAATATTGAAAATAGTGTTCTTGACTTGGATGAAGGGACTGAGTGTACCCTCAGTAAGTTTGCTGATGACACTAAACTGGGAGGAACGGCTGACACACCAGAAGGCTGTGCTGCCATTCAGTGAGATCTGGATAGGCTGGAGAGTTGGGCACAGAGGAGCCTGATGAAGTTTAATAAAGGCAAGTGCAGGGTTCTTCATCTGGGGATGAATAACCCCAGGCACCAATACAGGTTGGGGTGTTGACCTGCTGGAAAGCAGCCCAGCAGAGAAGGACCTGGTGGATGACCAGTTGACCATGAGCCAACAATGTGCCCTTGTGGCCAAGAAGGCCAATGGTCTCCTGGGGTGCATTAAGAAGAGTGTGACCAGCAGGTCAAGGGAGGTTCTACTCCCCCTCTAATCTGCCCTGGTGAGGCTGCATCTGGAGGATTGGGATCCGCAATCAGATAGGACAAATAGCATTTCTCTATATAAAAAAACAGTTGTCCATTTTATTGTTGGTTTTTGCTTTTTCTTCTTAGCCAGCTAAAGGTATTCATTACAGTGTATTCATTCATTGAGATAAGGAACTTCTGGAGAGAGTCCAGCAGAGGGGTACGAAGATTATTAAGGGGCTGGAGCATCTTTCTTACAAGGAAAGGCTGAGAGAGCTGGCTGTGTTTAGCCCAGAGAAGAGAAAACTGAGAGAGGACCTTATTAATGTTTATAAATATCTAAAGGGCGGGTGTCAAGAGGATGGAGCCAGACTCTTTTCAGTGGTGGCCAGCGATAGGACAAGGGGCAAGGGACACAAGCTGGAACACAGGAGGTTCCACTTAAACATGAGGAAAAACTTTACTGTGAGGGTGACAAAGCACTGGAACAGGCTGCCCAGAGAGGTTGTGGAGTCTCCTTCTCTGGAAACGTTCAAAACTGGCCTGGATGCAGTCCTGTGCAACCTGTTCTAGGTGAACCTACTTTGGCAGTGGGGTTGGACTAGATGATCTCCAGAGATCCCTTCCAACCCCGACCATTCTGTGATTCTGTGAACAGCAGATCTTGTCACTTCCCTTCTTACCCAATTTAAGGTATTATTTGAATGCCTTATCTGTCGTCTACCTGCACTTCATATTGCTTTCTGAAATTTGAAGAAATCTAGGTAAAGTGCAAAATACTGAACTGTAAGTCCCTAAATTTAGCACACTTTCCAATAGCATTAAGTTTTACTGAAAATGTCTCACTGTGCTTCAACAACATATCTGTAGTTGTAATTTAATTTAATGTGTTCTGTAGCAAATTCTCACATTCTGAATTCCCTTGCACAGTGCAGCAGTGCTGAGTGGTCAACCCAATTATTCAGCAGCTCAGCTGATTACTTTTTTTAAATGCTTAGTTTTATTAATTCTAATTCAGCATTTCAGTCATCACTACTTTTATCTTACCTCTGCACATGTTGCAATTTTATGTAGTATATTCATGGTTTAATCCTACAATCTGATCTTAATAAGCATAATTATGTGTCCATATAGATTAGTTGGGTTCTGGGTTGTCAAAACACATGAAGTCAATGTACAGCCAAAACGCAATATTTTGGGGGGAAAAAAAAAAAAAAAAAGTAGAGCTAGTGATATTTTGGTGATAAAATTAGCGTGAGATTTTGAGGGCTGGCCTATTCCTGTACCCATAGATGAATGCACGTGCTTTTGAATTATGAGAGTGTGCTGGTTTAGGCTAGAATAAAGTTAGTTTTCTTCCTAGTAGCTGGTATAATACCATGTTTTGGATTTAGGACGAGAACAATGTTGATAACACGCTGATGTTTTAGCTGTTGCTGAGCGGTGCTTACACTAAGTCAAGGACTTTTCAGCTTCTCATGCTGCCCAGCCAGCGAGGCTGGGGGTGCACAAGAAGCTGGGAGGGGACACAGCCAGGACAGCTGACCCAAATGATCCAAAGGGGTATTCATGATGTCATACCATATGACATCATGCCCAGTATATAAACTGGGGGAAGTTGGACTGGGGACACTGTGGCTCAGGGATTGGCTGGGCATTGGTCGGTGGGTGGTATGCAATTGTATTGTGGATCACTTGTGGTTTTTTATATTGTATTATTATTGTTGTTGTTGTGCATTTCCCTTCCTATCTTATTTTCTATTGTATTATTTTAAATTTTTATTTTATTTTATTGTTTTAATTTTTATTCTCTCCTCCCCCATCCCAGTGGGAGCAGGAGAGTGACTGTGCAGTGGCTGTGTTTTTCTTAGATGCTGCCTGGGATTAAACCATGACAGATGGAAAACATTTTTCATCATAGTATCTATCTTGAAGATGAGGTGTTAATTTCAAAAATGCAATTAAACTCAATCTTTTAAGTGATACTGAGAATGTTTGCATAGTTTATAGAAATCAATTTCATGTTGTCTGCTTTAAAAATACCACCAAAGAGACAACTTGTGAATACTCTTTCTTGGATACATTTGTATCCTTAGATGGACTGCAACAGAAATGGTCCAGGGCAGACTTCTGCTTGTTTTTTGTTGTGGTGAGAAACGGCCTTCCTTTGACAATAATGTGTTATTTTTACTTTTCACAATAAATGTCAGTCCTGTGTCAGGTCAAGGAATAAAAGGGAATATTAATCCCATATCCCTTTACTCTTCTTTTATGTGCAAACCAAAGTTAAAGAAAACCTGAAATGTGCCTTTGACAGCAAAAACTGTTTCAATAATTTAAGGTGATTGTACATTCCCTTGATAGCAGGTTTCATGCCATGCAGAGTCAATACAGTATACTTCTAAGAGCTAGTATTTTGTTTTAAAGATGAAACTGATTGATGTAAGAATTTTCTATTTTTTCTAATGGAAGTCTTACATTATAAAAGGAACTAATTTTTTTCCCCCTCCCTTTTGAAGCTTCTTATTAGAAGATGGTGAGAGCTTTGGGCAAGGACGAGATAGAAGTTCTCTCCTAGATGACACAACTGTGACTTTGTCCCTGTGCCAGCTCCGAAACGTAAGAAGAATGTCGTGCACTTGTTCTTATATCTTCGTTGCAGAAGCATTTGTTTAAAGGGAATATGGAACAACAGCTCCTACTGCTGTTCCTACAAATGGCAGTGTCATTGATTCCAAGAGAATGCTTCTTGACGTCCGGGTCAGATTCTGATGTATGCTATTAAATTGCTTTGTCTGCAAAAGTTTACTAAATTTGATTTATCTTCTGTCCCTCCATCCCCTTCCTGTTTCCCTCTCTTTCCTTTTTTTTTTTGTTACCCACTTTGTTCTGGTGTAACCCAAGTAGTTCTGTAGTATCCAATATCCCCCACGACTGCTAAACTAATTGGACAGTGTCTTGCATTCTTTAATTCCTGTCTGTAGGTGGCTTCCAATATTCAAAAGAAAAATCAACTCAATTCAGTTGCAGCTCCTTAAAGGCTTTATACTCAAAGCTGGATACCAAATTCCCAATAGCTAATTACTAATCTTTGGACTATATAGCTATTAAACAACTAGTTCAAAAGATCACTTCAAAGCATTTTGCCAAAATGCAGTAATGCAGTTTTCTTCCATCTTCAGTGGATAACTCATAATTTTTCCTGATGTGGTGACCAGTTACAAGATTTACTGCATATATCACTGAAATGTTTTAATTGTTCACCCAGCTTTGCACACATTGAGCTTTATTGAAGTAAAATTAGTAATTTATGCTGCACTGTTTGCAGCTTGCTTTTTATATTAGTGAATGCAGTTCTGTCACAGTCTTTATAAAAAACCTTTTCATAAATTACAGGGGTTAATACAGAAAGGGAGGTGACTCTTGAAGTCTTGATGTCTGCCACTGTTAACTTAATTTGGAGGTCAATGTGGCAAATACTTTGTAAACATATTTCTTCAGTACAACTTTTCATTACTTCACTCAAATGCATGAAACTAGACCAAAGAACTGGGTTATTTTACTTGCTTGGGTGGTGCGATTTGAGGGGCAAGGGGAAGGTTAAGAGTATGCAACAGCTATTTTAAAGGTAATATGCACTGCAACTCCTACTGTTGTTCCTACAAAAGGGCAGCTTTTAAGGCTTTTTAAAAACTTTTTAATCTGTAATTTTGGATATTGCTGCCTACTTCTATAAATAGAGCAGCAAATAAGTATATAGTGAAGTTTTATTTTGGGGAAGATAGAAGCCTCAACTTTGCAGTGTTAGATGAAATAAATTTTTAAACTTATGCAATTCTTCAAACATGTTTCATAGAGCAGAGCATAATGCTTATAATCAAAAGAGGATCAGTACTGAATGAACTGCGAATGAACTGTTCTGTCAATCCCAGGAGGAACAGGCTGTGTGCCGTATGCCTTTAAGTTAGGGATTGAACTGCAAAACAGAGCACTGCAGGGAGGATGGTATTAAACATTAATCACGATGCACCAAAGATGTGTGAAAACTTCAGGCAAAAGTCCAGGTATGCTTGTCTGTCACCTTTCCAGGGAGCATATGTATTTCTATGGAGCTCTCAGATACTGCTACTAAAAGGAACTCAAATTTGCATAACTCTTGAACTGATTAAAAACATAAAACCAAGTTGTGCAGTTGCTTTGCAGCTACTTGGATAGGAAGTCCACGCAGAAAAATGATGAAAAGAAAAAGAGCTATGTAATACTATTGATCTATTAATCCATGGCCCACAGAAGCTATTTTTTTTGCATGGAAATAGGTTTATGAATGAGATAAGTGTTATCTTCAGGCAGAAGAACTTCCATCAGCTCAAAAAGCCTGTATGAGCCTGTAAGTTTTTAGTATTAAAGGCTGTATGCTTCATTTCTGATGGAGGACTGAGCTTATGCTTAGGTCTCAAGGCAAACTACTAAATTTGGCAAATTAATTGCTAATTAATAGTTTTCATATTACACTAAATATTTCCACTTTAATTCTAAGTAGCATTCTGTTAATGGATTATTTTTATTCTTCATTTCAGAGACTGAAAGATGTTGGTGGGGAAGCATTTTATCCATTGCTTGAAGATGAGTAAGTGCATGTCTAAGTTTCTACATGTATAAGGGACTGAATTTTGAGTTACTAGTTTTATATGAGTGCATACTTCACAGCTAGACACAACTGTCTTCCAAAAGCAAACCTAACATGTCATTGTTTGGCCGTTAAAGTCAAGGAGAGCTGATAAGCACTCTGCACTGGTGGACTTAGGGCCCTGATACCAAACTGAGGATCCTAGCCTGTTTCTCTGTTCTAGTAATAAACTGTGCTGAATATACAAAATTATCCATTTATAGTTGTTTCTGACTTATAAATGCATCCCAGGATATTAATTTTTTTCACAATGATTTGTATTTCTTGCTGTTCATTACTACTGTCCTAACTCTTCTTCCAGCCAATCAACTTTACCTCATTCCAATAGCAGTAATGAGCTGTCTGCAGCTGCTAGTCTTCCTCTGATCATCCGGGAGAGGGACACAGAGTACCAGCTAAATAGAATTGTCCTGTTTGACAGGCTGTTGAAGGTATGGAATCTTTTGGATGCTGGATAATTGGATTTGGTCTGTTAATTAGAGGATTTTTAAAGGACCAAGTAATTGAAAAAGGAAGCAGAGATACAAGAGACCGCAGTGGGAAAGGGAGAAGGAAACCCTACAGAAGTATAAGAAGATTGAAAATTAAAATATGAGAAATAGGTCTTTTGAGCAGTGATTAATATAAAAGTAGATCTTAAAGTATACACATGAAAATAGAGCTGTTGCTAATACCTGTTATTTACTGGGGAAAAAAAAAAATCCACATCCTTTATTTCATAACAGCCTAAACTATTATAGGTATAAATACACCTGTAACATTTCTGCATTTCCAAGCAGTAAGGCACTTGAAAACAATACTAGTCTTTATTGTAGCAATGCCATGTAAGAAACATGGAATTTTATACTGGGGCGGGGGGGGAATACCAGTCCCTAATTTACATACATGCAGAGGGATAGATTCCTACTTAAGAATGAGAGAGCTGATGTGCATCATCAAGTGCAGTAGTTAGGAAGGTATAAACCAGAAAAGTTTAATAAAGCAAAATTGGATACGTGGTATGAAAAGAAACATATAATGAAGAAAACAATTTTGATAAAAATTTGAATTAGTAAATTTATATATCCAGTATGTACTAAAACACATGAATACATCTATGAGTGGGTATTTTAGACTCAAACAGTAGTCCTCCATCCAGGCCTTCCAGTTAGGAATGAAATTTACTTATAAAAGTTGCATTCCCTATTCAGGCTGACTGCATTTGTCCTTTGGGGGAAAGACTGTCCCAGGATTGGGATTTGAATTGTTTCAGTTACATGGTAACATTTTTGCTGATAATCTCTTCTCTTCAAAGGCCTACCCATATAAGAAAAACCAAATTTGGAAAGAAGCTAGGGTTGACATCCCTCCTCTTCTGAGAGGCATAACCTGGGCTGCCCTGTTGGGTGTTGAGGTAAGGGTAATGGGAGGGCATTTGCAGAAGTTCCAGTACTGCCTGGGGAGAGAATGGGATAGGAATGGGATTGACAAGGAAGCTGGAATGGATTTGAAGATTTTGCAGGTAGAATTACTGGCATTTCAAACAAAATGAGTGATGAAATTGTGGGAACAAAGACAGTGTTTAGACAAACAGGAGGTCTCAGAAAGATCTCTATGTCCCGAATTGTAACAGAATAAAAACTTTTTTTAAAATTCAGTTGTCAAAATTTTCTGTACTTTGGGAAATTTTTTCAGTGGAAAGGGCTTTCTAATTTCAAGTATTCTTCTTCTATATTTAGGGTGCCATAGAAGCAAAATATGATGCCATTGACAAAGACACACCAATTCCTACAGACAGACAAGTAAGACTCTTGTGTTATCAAATATTGTCACTTGAAGTAGTGCAAAGATCTTTTCCACCAGTTGCAGTCATTTGCCTATTACAGCAGATGTGGCTGATAATACCAAAAGGGTTCCCCTTGTCCTCTAACTTTATTTGTGCTGTAGCAAGAATCTTGCAAAACCAATAGGAACAAGTAGTTTAACGCAAATTATAACATGTGGAAAGTGAAATCCTCTTTTACTTCAGAAGCACTGTTTCTGTAGTAGCAGCAAAGTGTAGTGAACAATGTTACTGATGTACTGTTAAAAGTCTTGTTTTTATTGAATGTTTGTTGTGCCTGTTGGACCTTGTACCAGATAGTGTTGAATACCCCGAGATCCTGTAAGGTGAGCTGTGCTTCACAGAAATGGGTTCTTGAGGAATTTGGTTCTCCAAGAAGTCTTGCCAGACATAAAAAGACATCACAAGCAACAGCTGTTCCTTTCAACTAGGTGAAGAAATATTTTCCATCTAATTGGATACAACGTTCTGAGAACTCTGATTTTTTTATCCTCTCGAACAAAGTGATATTAGCACTTGAAATGAGTCCAAAAGTTGCGTCAGAAAAAACTATTAACTGTAATCTACTTTTTGCCTTTTTCAAGGTTTAGAATCCTTTTAAAAATCTGAATCAGAAAAATAAAATATCTCTATTTATAATCTTTGACAGGGTTGTTAGTCCCCTGTCCCCTTTCAGTTTTGGTTTTGAGAGTGATGAAGGAGCAGATTGTGTTTATGATGGTGATCTGACCTATGTTCTTTGGCTGACTTCCACCTCTAGCACTGCAAGATTGCTGTAGTACTATCCCATTTATCCTGATTTCTCTTTATATTACATGCTTGGCTGTGGTGCAGATTGAAGTTGATATTCCTCGTTGCCATCAGTATGATGAATTGCTGTCATCACCTGAGGGTCATGCAAAGTTTAGACGTGTATTGAAGGCCTGGGTTGTTTCCCATCCTGATTTGGTGTACTGGCAAGGTGAGTTTGACTAATTGGCAAGGTCAGATAATTGACTGGAAAGCTATGGCTGACTTAAAAATACCTCCCCCTCTTTCCCTCCACAATGTAAGCTTTTTTTGAGTGCTTTCCTTTCTGTTTCTTTTGAAGAATGTATCTATGGGTTATTGCAAATTTAGATCCTAATAATTTATATTTAATTTGTGAGAGAAAGTTGCCCCACTCTTTCTTACATATTTACTCTCCTTAAGTTTCAGTGACATTATTAAAAAAAAAAAAAAAAAAAAATGTCTGTTGCTTTCTGTTCAGTTCGAAGGTAAAACTGCAGAAGTTACTGAGCAAGTTCTTGAGATGGTAAATTGAATTTCTGGGAAGTCTTGGCAGCATAATAAATTCAGTGTTATAGTTCAATTTGAAATCCTCTCTGTTTTCATGCATTGATTTCACAGTTGTTTTCAGCATCACATGTGAAGCCTGACATTGCAGAATTATAAGCAGTATCAAGCATGCAAATTTTCATGATAAATACATGAATTTGTCTTGTGCATTACAATAAATGAGCTCTTTATGCCATTTCTTCATGACTCTTCTCTCTTTAGGTCTTGACTCTCTTTGTGCACCGTTTCTGTACTTGAATTTTAACAATGAAGGTGAGTACCTTTTTCTGCTGGAGGTGAAGGGGACACACATTCTGTCATCTGTAGTTGTAGACAGATGTACATGCAACCACTTATAGATGGAAACTTTCTGTAGCTACAAAGGAATTCTAAAGCTCTTGTTGCCACAGGTTGAAAGAGTTAGTTGTTTTTTTGAAAATGGTATGTATGTGGTTTACTGCTCTTCAAGCAGGGGTTCAAACCCTGTCTTTATTGCCAAGTACAATAATGAGTATACAATACAAAACACAAACAGCCCTGACTATAGAAAAGCAAGAAATGCTTCTCTAGTATTTGTCTTTTTCAGTGAAGCTGTAGTTCAGCCTTGTTTAATGTGAATGCATCACTTGTTAAACTAACTGTTAACCTGTCAGACTAGCTTTATTCAGAAAAGCTGATGATGGTTTTAAATGCCTAAAAGCTGCTTTGTATATGTGGCCTTTATCTTCTTAGAATGTGGTTTTTTTAGAATAGATCTAGTCCAATCTTCTGTTCTCTTGCACCTAACTTTCTTTATATAAGGTCTTTACATGGGAAAATTAGTTTCTTAGGACGATGATTCCTATTATGCCTACAGGACATATTAATTTAAATGTTTCAACAGATTTTTCTTCATCTTGGACTGTTCCTATACAGTTTGCTTGTAGAACCTGGTTCCTTCCTATTAAAGCAAAATATAATAGTAGTGAAATATGTAAAATTTTGTGTTCTGGTTTATTAACTTAATTGTACATGTTTGACTTGGATATTTAAAAAGTGGTTTCGATGCTAGAAAAGTTGTAGCACAGAATTTATTTATAAACTGATTGTATGTAGTATTTGCTATAAATCTGATGTTTTGCTTAGAAACATCCAAAATTATATTTATTGCCTTTGGCTATTTATGATAAACCCATATTTCTTCGTACTATCTGTTGTCTAGCACCATGACTAAGAATTGTATTACAATAGATTGTCTCTCAGTCAAGTTCCTAGGAATTAATCAAGGGGATAAACACTTAAGTTTTTGCCATCTAATCTCAATTTGGTGTGTATGTTAGAAGCTAATGAGAAATTTAAGATGTTTTTGTCTATCTTTTTGAACATATTTTTAAAGATATTCTGCTTGAAGTTTTTTCTTCTGAATTCTATTGTCATTAGTGTCTGAGCTGAAGTAAGATAAGATGTGAGTCTAATGGGCATAAACTGGCTGTAAGTTCTGTAGGAGAAAACCCAGAGGTCTGCAACAATACAGTTGTCTGATATTGCCTTCTAAAATTGTATTAATCCAGGGACCTTCACTTTTTGATATAAACATTACCATGACTTTCCAAACATCATCTCATTAGTTTGTCATTGAGAAGAATGGAAATAAGCTGCGAGCAGATCAGGATCAGCCAGCTTTATATTGATTACTCAGTGACAGAAGGAAACTTTTTTAGCAGTTTTAAAAATTCTTTAATGAGGAATGTGCCCTTTTTATGTGTTTTACGATAATTTTTGTGTATAGATTGGTTTAAGTATTTATGCTTACTATCTGCTTAATAGTGAACGTTTTAGGTGTACTTAAGTTTCTACTTTTTCTAATTCTTTCAGCTCTGGCATATGCCTGTATGTCTGCTTTTATCCCCAAGTATTTGTATAACTTCTTCCTGAAGGATAATTCTCATGTTATTCAGGGTAAGTCTTTTTTTTTTTTTTTTTCTTTTTCAGTTCTAACAGAAGTAGAATTATTTCCAGATATATAAATACACTTTCAAGTAGCTGTAAAATTGGAACGCAATTAGAATAATACTGTATAAATACCCATCCATTTCTTTCAAAAGCTTTATTTTAAGTAAATAAGAACAATGGCTGAGCAAGAAAAATAGGAACAAAATGAGTGGATAAAGATTCAGGCAGGTGAAAAAACCCAACTGCACACAAACACACACACACAAAAATTCTATGTAATATCCAAGGTAAGAGCCAGTTGAACATACGAAGTTGTAAAATGAAGGAGGAGTCTTTCCAGTGTGAGGTTGTAAAGACCCACCCTTCAGGTGATCAAAATCATACTGTTACAGGAGCTATTTTGACAATGGAGGAAAATGAAGAGGAACAGTACAAACTAGAGATTCCTCAGAAAATTGAAGTTATGGCATTCAGAGTGTGATGGACTTGAGGGAAATTTCTGCCTGAACAGAAGCTAATGTAATTCAGTACAGGACAGGAGTTGGAGAACCCTGAGGAATAATGTTCCATAGCTCAGCCTTCAGCAGCTACATAGATAATTCAGAGAAATTAAAACAATAGTTAGCAGGTAAATATGTGTTCTACTTGAAAAATAATTTTAAATTGCATGGAAACACAAAGAAGGAATTGTCTAGACCTAGAAAACCACCTTGGCACAGTCTGTGTTGTAAAGATAACTTGTCTTGCAGACAGTTTTTGAAAACCAAAAGAAGCTGTTTGAAAAGCCATCAGTAGTTTAAAAGAGCAGGTAGTAATAAATGTTTTTAATTGCAAACAGTTATGAGTGTTTATTGAATGCTGGGTTTCAGCACGGCTCACTGTCCTTATATTTCTTTTGAATAAATTCTTTTGTATATAACTTGTGAGACTCCTCAACTTAGAAATGGTATCTGTCATTTTTGTCTTCAAAAAATGGAAGGAAGTTAAGAACTGATCAACAAAAAATAATTAGATATAAAAGTACTTACATATTGGATAATAGGGAGAGAGATAGCATGAAAGAGAACACAGTGATTAGGAGAGTTTACGTACGAAAGACAATGGGTAAGAGGTGTTGTGAACTGAACATGTAAAATAATAGTTTGGAAAAACTATTCAAGAGAACTTGTTTACAACCTTTTGTCTGTAAAGAAAGAGTTCTTGCTGGGGAAAAAAGGGACAGTGAAGGTCTAAAGATGAAAAGAGTTAAGTATATTATATCAGATGCTCCTGTGGAGACAACCGCTTTAGACTTCAAGATTAATAGCTTGGTAAATACTTCTGTCAAGAGAGTATACTCTTCCATAAAATAATACTTTTGTTCTCTAGAGTTCCCTGATGTTACTCCTAAAAGGCTTTACAAAAACATGTATCAGCCAAACTTAGAAATATAGGTCAGTAG